TAGTATTAGATAATGGCATAGGACTTTATGTTATAGATTGTACTCCACAATTTTTGAAATCTATAGCATTGATCCTTTTGCAATCCTAATTGCCTCTTCAAATATTTATAGATCCTTTAGTTCTACCTCTTACAGGATTTCAAGTTTTAAACCTCGATGAAATTAATCCATCATTTTTGCCTCTGAAATATTTCCAATTTGGAGATATAGGGACTTGAATCTAGAAACATAAACTTGCACCAACTTGAATTTTCTAAGATTTATCAACTAATTGCATGCTATCTTTTTTATATTAATAGATTAAAATTAGTTCTTAAACTTTGTCTCAAACTACTTCAAATCACAAAATTCACCTTAAGCTCTATAGCTTTGAAATTGATGTTGCGACCAAATGGCTATCAAATCTCTCAAATAGTTGGCTATATACATAATTCTTTTAGTGGTATTTGCTCCAGATAGTTGGAGGTATTGTCGCATGTTGAAGAGCCATTGATATATAACTTCTTGTCTTGAATTCTCAAAGTATATACTAGACTTACTCAATTTGAGTCTAGAAAATGTTAACTCCCTTGTTCTAAAGGCTTCTATTTGCCCTTGCAAAGTAGCTATCTAATCTAAGAAGTATTGTATTTGAACCTCTATCTAAGATTGTTCAATCATATCTCCTATGTTGTAATTTTTTCTTTGGACTCTACTATTGTAATGCCTTCTCGTCTTTTGGTTGAATTTTAAGAATAACTTGTGTTAGCCTCTATATAGTAGCCAATGTGACCACAACAATTGGCCTCAAACTAGATGATGGCTATCAACTAAATATTAAAGAACAGTCTAACACTAGTTCTAATATCAATAAAATAGGACCAGTCTATTTTAAGAGTCCAAGACTCTTCTAATCCACAAAAACATAAAACCTTATAACAAAGTAGGACAAAATAGACCAAAATAAAACTGAACAAAATTAAACAAAATAGGATGCAAAAGACAAAACTATACAAATGAAAATAGAACAAAACAAAATTAAACAAAAAGATGTAAAACCAAACTTTACTAAAAAATAAGGTCTGAAATCATACTTGACCAGATATCCAAAAAGACCTTGATCAATCCTATTTATATTTGTTCTACCACCCTAAACTTTCTAAAATATTCCTAATTAATAGACCCCTCTTAGATAATTATCCTAAACTCTTTTTAAAAGATTCTATGGTAGGTTCCATCTAGATAATCACCTTAAGCTCTTTCTAAAATGTTCCATGGTGGATCCTACATGGTCCACTAATCTAGCTCTAATTCTAGAAACTTCTATAACTTCTCAAACATGGTTCCAACTATCTATCTTTATATGTCAATAATAGAAATATCTTATTTATACCCTATTAAAATGAAGGTGAAAATATATAGATTATATATATTACCAAAATGAAGTTTTATTTGTAATAAACTTAAAAACCTATATTTTTTGGAAGAATGAACAAAAAGTGGAAAAATATTTTTTTATAATATAATGATAATAAAATTCCAAAGTAATAAAAATATTATTTTATGTGTTATTTTTTCTAAAATTGCAACACAACTTTTAAGTGGTGGATGGACTATATATTTTATATTTAAAATTCTACTCTATCTTGATAAAGATTTGTTTTATAATATTCTAAACAATACACTATATATATTTGTGTTAAGAAAGACAATTCTTATCATTTAAGATGAAGCTCCAATTCAACATTATAATTGTGTCAGGGCAATTGATAGAACTCTACAAGACATAAATAGCACTTATAAGTTATTTAGCAAAATTATTATAGTCTTGGTAGAGATATTTGACAAATTCTTCCTGTTGTCATTAAAGATTCAAGAGAAGAAGTTGTTGGTGCTTCTTTGCAATGGTGAAAGATTTGATCTCATATTAAAGTGTGCAAGTTGACTAAAAATATTCATTTAGAAGCTATATTTGATGACAATTTATTATTTACTAAATAATTCATGAAGTTATATATTATATAAGACTATTACTTATGAGAGCTTTTATATGATATAATGCTTATATTTAATATATCTAAGAGTAGTCTTTATTTGTAGATTGGAAATAGATCTATAATTAGAAATATATTAAGAAATTTAATGATTCTTTCAAAATATATAAAAGTATGTTTGACATCAAATGATTTGATTCAAGCTATGTATTTGGAACATGATGAAGATAAAACACTTTGATATGAATATTTCACCAACATGTCTATTTTATTTAGACAAAATTATAATATTAATAATTTAAATAAGGATACTATGGAGAGATTTTCTAGAATTTTATATATTTATCTTAGTACATATATAAAAATTATAGAAGATAGTATTTATAATAGAAATTATCATCCAACTGAGTATTTGAATAGCTTAAGTTTATTTGGATTGCCACTATTCAGCTTGAAACAAAAGTTTGGATGTCCTATTATGTTGTTGTAAAACATTATTTTGCATCAAAGACTTTATAGTGAATCACCCTTGGTTATTATGTACCTAACTGATCAAGTTATAGAAGCAAAATTATTATTTAGAGACTGTAAGGAACAATTGGCTTTTCTTTCAAGGATCACATTATGTCCATCATTTGCAAAGATTTCATTCAAATTACAATTAAGGCAATTTCCAATAAAGGTGAAATTTTCAATAATCATTTTCATATTTCAAAGATAATTGTTGAAAAATGTAGAAATAGATCTTAAAACCCACATACTTGCACATAAATAGTTGTATATTGTTCTTTCACAATGCACTTCTTTGAATATAATCAAGATCCTATATCCTAAAAATAGTGAAGATAAAACCATCACATTAAATGTAGTTTATTCCTATATATATATTATTTAAATTTTTGAAATAAATGAAATTTATTTTTTCCAATTATAATGTTCCATTATTGTGCATACACTTTTTCTTCCTTTTTTTTTATTTTATTTATTCTTTATCAACATTTCTTTAAGAGAGGTCAATTTTTGACTTAGCAACTACAAATTAAACTTTTATAGCTTTTTTGTGGCCAATGGCATAAGTTTCTACTAGTGATTATGTATATATATATATATATATATATATGAACTTCTTTTGTAATAAGTTATTATAGAAGACTGAAATATGACAAGGGCAACTTACAATTACATCTGTATAAACTCATCATCATTTTCATCTCATGGATTGAATACAAATTCAAAACGTATTGACAATTCATCTAAAAACTTGATGATGTCGCTCATCCAAACACACTTAAGTAATTTGCAGCACAATCAGATTTTTGTAAATTTTTCCATTTTACACTAACAATTTTATGCTTATTTTTCCAACTTTGTCATCCACACATACACACACGCACACTGTATGTTGTTTCTAGTACCAGATCAGCACGATCCTTTGCGACTGCTCCACTAGGCCTCCAGAGGTGGAGCCGGATCAAACACAGAATTCTTACAAAAAGTTTAATTCCGCCGCTCCGGAACCGGTTGCGGCATTTGGATCCAGTCAAACGCCGTTTCGGAGCTGATCATCTCCTCACTGGCGCATCGTCAGTCCTACACGCAACGGCGCTAGATCGACACAGCTGTGGTTCTTTTCAGTACTCACTAAAAAAAACAGCGACTCTATGATGTACCGCACACCATCTGGCTTCTGCGAAAATCCCGTAACTCATGGATGCACTGAGTACCAAAGCCAAGCACCGAACTCATGAATGAGATTCACCCAGACTACCACGCATAGTGTAGACAACTTTGTCTGAACCACGATTTCCTAAACTTTCCCTCTTCATAATGTCTCGAACCAAACTTCACCTCTGCGAAAAGCGAAGTAACGTGGCTAAACACTGGATGATGTTCCGTTGCCATCACCATCGTCAGGCCTCAAGTTCCATATCAGTTATAAATCAATCACCTACTTTGTAATCGATAAATAAAAAGGAAAAGCTAAAGAAGACAAGGATGTGTATACATATACATATATATATTTACTCACGATACATGTAAAATAGAAATGAAATTTAAAATAAATGTTTGTAACATATAGCATTCTTGGAGAAGGGGTCCTACGTGTTCTAATTGTCAGTGCATAGATGAACTCGTCCAGTGAAAAAATTAACAGGAAAAGTAATCCTTCTTGTGTGAATTAGAGAAGATACAATGATAGCAAAAATAAATCATTAGATTAAAATGTCTACCCGATTCTTAAAAAATCTGAAAAAAGCTCTCTACTCATAAACTATACTTTTCATATACGATGTCCCTTATAAAATATTTTCATCCCATGGAAATCAACATGGAAATGAATAAAAGTGGTTGGAATAAGATACAAAATATGTTTTTACTGTTTATGTGTACAATCGTCTATTTAAATAAACTTTTGTAACACATGCAAATGTATGAAAAAGAGTAAAATTATTTTAGTAGAAGTACAGGATTGGGTAACAAAGCAATTGTAACAATTTCGTCAAATTGCAATTTTCTTAGAACAACAACAACGAAATGATAAATACAATCGGGGTTTCGTAATCGGGTTTGTTTCATCAGGATTGTTCTCCCACGGCTTCGCATTTAGGATTTCTCCCTATCCCTAATCCTAACCCTAAATTTTTAACATTAGCGTTGCGGAGTGTCGTGCAAGAGCTTCCACGAGTTTTTGGGATCAGGAAAATGGTTGATGTGATGGCCACCGTGGTAAAGAATACAGAGTGAGTTGCAGATCTGCTACAGCGTCGCTACAGAGAGAGCCAGCAATTGGTTCAAGTGAACAACGATCGATTCTTAAAGGAGTTGTCCACTTGCACAATCGCTGAAGATTCACAGCAGCTGCTGAAAACCCTCACTCTCTTCACCTTGACAATCTCTGCACTTGGGTGCCGTGCGTGAAGCTCTGTAGAATGAGTTTGTGACGTGGGTTTCGATCGAACCCTAGATCCTGTTTGTTTGTCGATTTCGAAGTTGTGGAATGATCGACTCTCGATCGGCGAGATCAACCCATGCGACGAAGTTCACTGCGAAAACCTGTTCGCCGAAGTGGGAGACTGCGGTGGGCGCAGACTGTTGTAGTGAGTTCGGTTGCATTCGGTAGTCTGCCAGCTGCTATGGTTAAAACAGAAATCGTAACGAACTCCGCGCCCCTGCGCGGTTATCTTCGAAGCAACAACCATGGATTCGGGCGCCTGCCATTTGTCATCTGCCCAAGCGCGTATTGTGATTTTAAAATTATTAATTTGAACGTCACCAATTTTTCAGCCCATGTCGGTAGGGATACCATTCACCCGAAGACCCAGAGTACATTTCAGCGACCTTCCCACGACCCTCGATTTTCCGAAACCCACAGTGATCATCGTGGCTTTTACTCATGTACCTCGAAACTGTTCCTGTGGTTTCCGGCACGTTCCTGAACATCTTACACAAATGCTTGTGGATTCGCTCTGGAGGTCTGGTGTCAAATCGATCGAAGGTTGCACCCTTGCGGAGTTCTACTTGGTCTATGACACCTTCAACCTGAATCAAGCAGACTGTGACGTCGAAAGTCGAAAGAATGCTATCAAATCACCATAGTGTTGGTTATTACAGGGTAGTATAGATCTCAAGGTCCTCAGAGGGTTCATCGCCTTCTACCCATATAATGGGAGTTGAGTTCTACATTGGGCATCGAGGATTTAAGTCTTACCGATTTTGGAGTCGAAGTTTTTGGACAATAGGAGGTACTTTGGTTTTGTTGAAGCTAGAGAGGGCGCAAGAAAATGGGCAAGCTTCACAAGGTTTAGGCATTATCGGGTTTTGGGGTTTCGGAAATGGTTGACACTTGAGTCTCTCACGGGCCCAATCGTATTATTCATCGGAATTTGTTGTTAGGCATTTGAACAATGAGCAGCGAGGAGCATCATTCTGTGGAAGTGCCATCTCCTGATTTTCCAGAGACTGTCTCGGAGGATGGTGGATTTGGTAAGTTGTGCTTATCACGATGTCTGAGATTCCTCGTGATATCTTCCCTTTTCGCCTGTCGTGTTCAATGTTTTATTGCCACCGAAGGCGATCTGCATTGTGTAGGTTTCTTAGAAACATAAATCCCAACAGTGGAAAACTGCTCTCACTGAGTGAATATTGAATTGTAGAAACTAATTCAAGCTGCTCTTGCTATCATTTACAGTCACGACCTTGCAAATTCCGATGCTGTAATTTACAATGTGTGGATTATAAGACGCTGCAGCGAAAGCTCATAGTTATGGTTGTTGTTCTTCACGTCCTGAATATGAAGGGAAGAAGTCGGTTGGTGTGGATGAGAAGACTCAACTCATGGAAGAGGGTTCTGATCTCAACAAACCCTTGGCAAAGGATGCTGAGCTTTGGATGAGTATTGCCTCTGCGTGTGCTTATGGGCTAATAGGCCTACTCATGGGATTTTTCAATAAGGTGTGCTAGACATTCGTCATTGAATGTTCTACTTTTTCAATTCAGTCTGTGCTGACATTTCCAGGCGTGCACTAAGATATGCCGTTTAAACTGAATCTGGAGCATGTGGTGTAATGTTTCCAGGCGGTTTTAGAGGACTGGCCATACCCGAATTCTTTCCTGACGCTGCAGATGGCGGTTTCGATCGTCATTGTCAATGTGATGCAAGTGTCTGGTTTGACCACCGTCCAGCCGCTGCAACTAAACGCGGTCAAGAACTTGTTACCCGTGGTGTTTTTCTACAACACAAATGTTGCATTTGCGTTGGTAGCAGTGAGGGCTCTAAGCATACCCGTCTATCATGTTCTGAAGCGTCTGACTCCTGTCATGGTGCTGGCGGGTAAATTCTTGATTTGGGGCAACACGACGTCCATCGAAATCGCGTTGTCTGTCTTAACTGTTGTGTCAGGTGACTGCTTTCGACCGGCGTTGCTTATATCCAACTTTTGTTCTCACTGGGAATGAAATCCAAAGAGATCGTTTGCTAGCGTCGTTTAATCCTTTCACGGTGGGTGTTTTCTCTGTGGAGATTGCGTAAGTTCACAATAATAGCAGTATATTTAGGTCCGATATGGTATATAGGGGCTGAATTTGGGTTTCCATGTCATCAGGTTGCTTGATGGCTGGCCTCGGAGATTTGAGCTTCGATTTCAGTGGTTATTCTGCGGCGCTCATGAGCTGCGCACTGCAAAGTACTTACTTGATACTCGTTGAAAGATCTGGTACTGAGAAAGGTGAGTTATATTCCCTACCTTTAGTAAGACGTGAGTGTTGTTTCAAAGTCGTCGAAGAGATTAAGTGGGTTACACAATCGATTGATGATTCTGGTGTGGATTGTGAGTTGAAACTCACGAACCAATTCTCGTCCTGTGAACTGCAGGATTCAACTCAATGGAGCTGTTGCTCTATAATGGAATGCTCTCTTTGCCTGTCCTCCTTGCTATTACTCTGGCAACAGGAGAGGTATGGGACTCTGTGGAGAGCATCCAATACCAACTTGCGGAGAATGCCTTGTTCCTGCCTCTCCTCATTTCCTCACTCTTAATGGGCTCGTTACTTAATTACTGCTTATTTCTGTGCACCCTGTGCAACTCGGCTTTGACAACCACCATTGTCGGCACACTTCGCAGCGTTTTTGGCACGGTATGTCGACTTCCTTTCAGAGCTAAACTTTTTTCTCCTTTCTTCGACATACAGTATACATTTTCAACTTGTCTCGGTGACTAAATTACAAACATCGTAGTTCAAACCTTTTCAAAAACATACGATCGAGTTTGGATTGTTGTAGATTTTTGTAAAACCATCTTGTGTGCCACAGGTGGCTGGATTTTTTGTCTTCGGAGGCGTCAAGGGCACAGCCTTCATGTTCCTTGGCGTGACATTCAACACGATAGGGGGAGTAGGGTACACAATTATCAAGTACAGGGAGAAGCAGCCCAACACCTCGCAGAACAGGGTTAGGCTTGAGAAATAGCTTCAATAGAGGCTGAACATCTCGCTGCACTTACTGCTGATCGACAAGTAGTCGGAACAAAACTCCTCTCCTTCAAAGTTCAAATCTGAAGAATCTCAGTTGGGTACAGACTTCGAGGATTGTATCCGAACTTCCTGCTGTTGCCCGATTCAAATGTTTTAGGTTAGAAGCTCAGACGTAAGAAATTCAGCTTAGCAGTTGCATTGTTCTTCGTGTATATTCGTATTTATATATTCATGACGTCTTCGAGCAACATGCCTGAGTAAATGGTCTTACCTGCAAGTCCCAGTCCCCACAACGACAGGCTTGAGCTCTGAACAAATACACAATCAAACGTCTTCATTATCGGTCTCTGAGATTTAAACAGCATTGAAATAGTAGGAACAACCACATTGCTAACATCAACTCTTTACGAATTTGTATGGAGAAGAGCTAACTGGGGCCATCCCAGTGTGTGAATCTTCGCATGTTACAAACTGGTATGTTTCTTTGACGCAACAAAACTTGCAGAATTGGTGTGATCGACGTCATCTCTGGACAAGGTTTGGTGTTTAACATTCTTCGCAGCTTATAATTTCTAAAACATGTTTTTGTGTAGGGACAGTTTAATGCATGGATATAACAATTTCAACATAAATTTTCATCATTGATAGCAAAAATGTTGAGCAGTTATTTCTTCAAACTGTTTTAACAACAATTCAAAACCTAAAACATTTGAAAGAACAGGGAATTTGATTTGATTTAATGACTTTTCAATCTTAACCATTGAAATAAAGTACTTCTACTATTTCTTGGTTGTTTTTGTTTTTTTATGACTCTTCATTGTGATATTTATTATCAAAGATGCAGCCATTTTAGAAAACACATTAACCAAAAGGAAAGAATCTGAATTTGAAAAATATATTTTATATGCAATGAATATAAAAGAAATGAGTATCTTAAAATTAAATTAGAATTAGATTTTAATTCAATTATTGGCATTTTTTATATTTGTTATTCCTAAAACTATGGTTTATGTAAATATAGTATATAATATCTTATTATTATTTTTTAAACAATGATATTTATTTAATCATTGATTTATTTTTATAATATTGATATTATAGATAACGATTCAAGTTAATTAATTGTTATAACCTATCTAATTATTTATTGTAGAAAATTTTGTTTAATGCAACAAGAAACTAAAAATGCAAAGATTTTGTTCAAGTACAATATGTTTAATAAATATTTCAACCATGTATATTTTTATGTCATAGTTTTTTTAAGATAGATATTTTAATCCAAATTATAATATTAATTGATTATACTTAATACACTATTGGCATCACACATTATAATATACATAAAAGTATCATTAAAAGTGATTTATATTTTTAAGTAATTATATCAATTTTTACAAATTTTTCATATGGTTGAAATCATGCTTATAAGTTAAACAATATATATATATATATATATATATATATATATATATTTATATATATATAGAAGCTTTAAATTAAAATAAACAATACATTTTAGATAAAAACTGATGTATTGATAAAAGTCTAATAAATTATTATATTTTTTATTTATAATTTTAAAATAAAAAATAAAATTTTTCATTACAAGCTTTACATGATTATTATATATTACATTGACAAATAGTGTAAAGCACTTATATAAAAGATGAATTTACATTATTCATGTATCAAGGCCATGAATTATGAAAAATCTCTAAAGAAACAAAAAAATCTCTTATTATTTGATCATTATTTAGGCCATTGTAACTTTATTCAAATAATATATTTGAAATACCATTAAGAGTAGTTCCTACCTCCAATAATATCATCAAACATCAAGAATTTCCTCTAAGGCTGAGATTTCAAATGCATTATATCTTGCCATTCATTTTGAGGAAGAACATGTTATTCTTGAAGGTCTCCATCACTATTACATTGTCTTAAGAGCTGCAAAAATTGCAATGACTTATCAAGTAATTAAAGAAAAGTTAGCTCTTATATTCAATCTATTGATTGTTAACCCTCCACATTTTTAATGCTAAAAATATAATAAAGTACAAACAAAGATAGAAGATAGAATGTAATCTTTATTGAATATAGTTTTTTTAATGTAATTTCTTCACTTTTTATCTTTACTTTGTTGAAAGTCATTAATGAAAAATATTAACCTTTTTTACTATATTTATAAGATTTTTAGATGATTTCTATGTGCATTCACTAATATTATATTTACATCAATGTACAAGATAATTTAATCTATTTTGGAGTAACTTCCTATTTAAGACCTCTTCTATTTCAAATTTTTAATTATTGTCCACTTTTATAAGAAGAAAAGGCATCTATCTTCTTCTAAGTATATCTATTGTCTTGTATGTTAAAGACAAATTCTTCATGCAAATGAAGATACTAATAATAATAAAAAATCTTTTTATAGTACTATAAAGAAGTGATTAAATTCTTTATAAAGAGAGATAAAAGAAAGAGATTTTGATTGATTGGTGTAGCATTTGATTTCTATTGTCACTAATTATATGTATTTGGATAATAAAAAACATATTAGATTAGTTGCTAATATAAAAGTTAAAAAAAATATTAAAATAAGTATCTTCAAAGCTTGAAGTATAAGCAAGAATAACATATTGGAGCCAAATATAATGGATGAATCTTAGAAAGTGAAATTTCAAAGCCATAAAGATTGCAAACTTTGGTATGTGATTTCTAAGCCTTTCATAGAATATGCATATTGTTTTCATGAACATGCAATATGTGGCAGTTCTTGCAAGTACCAAATTGCTATTCTCTTTGATTTTTTTCTTTAAATTTTAAAATGGATAATTGTAAAAAACTATAGGATACACTATGGTAGTAAATGAGGAGGTTTAGAAGTTTTAACTATACATTTTATTCCTACAATCAACAATATTTTTGAAGATGATAAAAACATAAGAAATAAAAATATGAAAAAATATTTTGTAATTAAAGAAGAAATAAAATTTCTTAAAGAAGAGTTGAATTTGTAATAAATTATAGAAATGATTAAATTTTTTAACAAAAAAAATTGTTAAAAAAATCAAAGATAGAAGATGTAGTAGCTCAATATAATCTTTTATTACTAAAAACAAAGATGAAGACATTAGTATGTTGTTGATTAGAAATACATCCTATTTTATGTATTCAAAAATATGATAGATAATCCAAACACTTTAATAAAAATAAAAAAATAAAAAATTACATGAAGGCATATATAACAAAATAATATAGAATTTTATCTTCAAATATAAAAATAAAAATGGTATATGATTTTAAATTATATTAAATTAATTTTTTTATATTATATATTAATTTTTTATATATAAACTAATATTATTATTTATATTTTTTAAATCTGCAAATATTTATATATGTATGTATTTTCTTACATTATGCATATATGATACATTCTTAATTGATATAATTCAATTATAATATGCTAAAAATAATGATTAAAGGATCTATTGAAAATATATATATTATAAATATTTATTTATCATTTACCAGTTTTTTAGCATCTTCCTAATCTTCTACTACTTTTTTAATCTTCCATTATTCTTAAAGTAAATATTAAACTAAAAGCTTGGACTCTATAGGGGCCTATTAAGCAAGTATAGAACTTTTCAAAGAATTCTAGATAATGACTATCATACAACAAAACTAAACTTGCTTTAGTAATAACATATTTTGTTAACTTCTTGTCATACTGGCTCTTTCAATTTTATTGCATTATAGTATCCTCTCTAAGGTCCTTTTGTATAATTCTTCTAATAAGGTGATTTGATAGATCATCTTTGATATGCTCTCCGATTCTTCTTCCCTCTTAGATTAGAGAATTCTAGGCATTGGTAATATAAATTCTACCAATATTATAGATTGGTGACTATATGCTAAAAATATGGCCTTTTCTCTATTGTTGTTTTGTAAGCAAAATCATACACATAATTGGTAGCAAAAAACTTTACATCTCAATTAATTTTATAGGCTGTTATTATTTTATTGAGAATCTTTTTCATGTGACATTTGTTTAAGATCCAAGAATTTCTAACATCATTCTTATGGACTTCTACAACCATTGCGAATTTTGAAGTGACCATAGTCTTTAGTATCAATGGACTTTATCATTGATCTACTACCATCAGCTACATTTGATGCTATCTATTTTTTCACAAGGGCAAGTCTTCTTACGAGAACATGGAGTCTTTGATTGCAAGTGGGTTGTGAAAAGCACAATATTTCCCAAATAAACTCAAATATAAAAAAATTTAGCTTAAATTAAGCTCAATAAAGTTTTTTAAAATTTGAAAAAATGACAACCAAATCAAAGAAAAAACAGTTGGCCTTTTACTACAACTGTTGCCTTCAAAACCTCTATCTATAAATTAGCTTGGATTTTCCTTCTCACAACTCTTTTTCTTGCATAATAAGTCTTATTAGAAAGCTAACAACAAGATCCAGGTTTTTTTATAATTTCAAAAAAAATGATGCAAATAGAAGAAATGATATAAAAAATTCTAAATTAGTCTTGAATTTTGTTACATAAAAATTCTAGCAATCTTTCTTCTATAAGTTTGTATGAATCTCTTTAGTCACATCTTCTTTTTTTATATACTAGGACTTATTAGAAGGCTAGCAACAAGATCTAACTTCTCTTAAATTTTCAATTCAAAAAGATAAAATTACAATAAGTGGTTTAGAAAACTCCAAATAAATCTTGAATCTCACCTTTCAAAAACTCCAGCTACCTCCTTTCTCACACATCTATGCAAAAAATCCACTTAATTTCAAAACCTCCATCCTAACATTCTTCTAATATCTACCTTGAACTCTTATAGAATCATGTATCTATCCTAAATGACAATACTCTCAAAGCTTGAATAATCCATTCAAGTCAATAATCTATTATTCTAAATTCCATTCAAATTTGAATATGTATTAGCATTATATTTTTTTTTCTTCCTATAAGTAAAACTAATTATCCTCAAAGTAATTTTGATGCACCAAAATTAAGTGCATCACAATAACATTATTGTGGATTAATTTATAAAGATGGCAAATTTTGTCTCATGCAAAAAGGTAATTTTTAAAGAAGAAAAAATAAGGCTCTTTATTGATAATATATATTGATATTATGATCAACTTGATGAAATAATTTTTTATTAAAGAAATTTATTTATAATAAATTTTTGAAAATCTCTTTTCAAAATATCGAAGGTAG